GGGCGAGCGGCGCCGGGCGGGCGGCGATGGACGGGCAGCGCCCGGCGGGCCCCGCCGCGCCGCGCTGGAGGAGGCGGGCGACCCCCCGGCCGCAGCCCCTCGCCTGGAGCAAGCCCCGGCCGCAGTCGTACCAGAGCCCCAGCGGGCTGCTCGTCACCGACTTCCCCGTGGAGGACAGGTGCGCCTTCACCGTGACCCAGCCCGCCGGCACCGTCAGCCCCGACATGGGATCCGTGTCCAACGGCACCGTGCGGCCGCCCCGCTCGCCCGGGCTGTCCCCGGAGCGCTCCCGGCTGCTCGCCCTGGCTCCGGACAGCCGTGTCGGTTCGACCGCCAACGGCACGGTCCCCGCGCCGGGCAGCGGGCAGGGCCGCCGGGCCCGACCGCCCAGGACTGCGGGGCTGGCCCCGCACCAGGACCGCATCGTGTTCGCGGCCAGCGCTCAGCCCGCGCCGTGCGGCCAGGCCGCCGAGCCCCCGGGGGCATCCCCTGGAGTCAGCCGGACCGCCGAGCCCCCGAGGGTACCGGGAGGATCCCCTGGAGTCGGCCGGACCGCCGAGCCCCCGAAGGGATCCCCCAGAATCGGCCGGACCGCCGAGCCCCCGAAGAGATCCCCCGGGATCAGCCGGACCGCGGAGCCCCCGCAGGGATCCCCCAGAATCGGCCGGACCGCCGAGCTCCCGGGGGCATCCCCTGGAGTCAGCCGGACCGCCGAGCCCCCGGAGGGATCCCCCGGGATCGGCAGGGCTGCCGAGCCCGCGGAGGTGCCGGGGGGTCTCCCCGCGGAGCCCCCCGCGCTGCTGAGCACGCACAGCCCCGCGGCGCGGAAGGTGGGCTCGCAGCAGCTGATCCCGCTCAGCCTGGCCGAGAACCGGCCCGCGGGCCGGGCCCAGGGCCACGACCGGCTGCTAAAGGCTCGGAGCATGGTGGAGACCCCCCGGCTGCCCCCGGGCAGCGACGCCGAGGACGAGCCCGAGGGCGGCCCGGGCAGCCCGGGGACGCTGCGGCGAGGGCTCCGCTCCACGTCCTACCGCCGGGCCGTGGTGAGCGGGGTGGACCTGGACGGCTCCGCCAACTGCAAGAAGAAGAACAGAATGTCCCAGCCCATCCTGAAAGCCGTGGTCGAGGATAAAGAGAAGTTTTCGAGCCTGGGCAGGATAAAGGTGAGGTGCGCTGGGCGGTGATGCTGCGGCTCCGCAGGAGCGTGATTTGCTGACTGTGCGTTTTTTTTCAGCTTGCTTTTTGCTAACACAAAACTTCTCGTAGTTACTGCTGTTTAGTTAATGCTGTTTGCTTGGGGAGATGTTGGAGGGACACGATTCTGTTGAAATCTGGGCAGCTCAGCACTGTGCTCCTGCTCGCGTTTCCTGCTGGATTCCCCAGCACACGGAGGGCTGCTCTCCCAACCGAATTCATGGCTTAAAACCCACTTCCCAGAAAGGAGTAAACAGGAAAAAAAGAGACATTGTCCTAATAAACTCTGTCTGCTAGAGCAGAGACAGAAAAATGAACTTCCTCCTGCTCTCCTCTATCTGAGACAGCACTTCTAAATTACTTGTAAAAATCACTGTGTGGTTTTTAAATCGATAGAGACCACTTCAGTTATCTTAATTTTAATGCTTGCAAGTAAAAGCAGAATGCCTGTTTTTAAATCTTGGTTGTATCCCTTGGGAGAAGTAGGTAGATTTTAATTGCATGTTAATGCATTAAAATTAAGTTATAAAGACTTACTGAAAATACTTTTTTGCTTGAACATATAGTGTTCATATATTGTATTTCCTTATTTTTAAATAGAATTTGTTGCTTTATGAAATACGTTCACAGATACCTGTGGAGTGTTTGGAATTGTGCAATAAACTATACCAGGCTGAGGGCTGATGCTGTAGCTATTAAAATGATCATCAGCTTTATTACAGTTTTCAGCCAAATTCAAAATTATGGTAATGGAAGCTTTTGTGAAAATGCCACAAGTGATGAAATAGGAATTGATCAAGTTGTGAACAACTGCAGAGTAGGAAGTGATTTGGTTTGGTAATAGACTTGAACAGTAAGTTGTGTTTAGAATGGGAGGATGTCTCACTGTCCTGTCCTAACACAGAGAGCTCTCTGCCAGTAGTGTTTTATTAGACTCTCAGCCCACAGGACATGTTGCACCAGAACAGCTGTTTGATTTCAGAGGTTTGTTTTGCTCTCAAGACGTTCACTTACAAAGTACTTACAGGGGGTGTTGTGTGCAGAGTGTGGAAGGGCAGCCACTCAGTCCTGGGCCTTGTGGCCTCCTAGGAAAGCCCGAGACAGTGGGATGAGGTGCAGGTTCACTGAACCCCTCTCAAGCCAGTATATTGTGCTTTTGAAACACAGGGAAAATGAAGCATTTTGGGAAAATGGATATAAACAATGCATGAGAGAAATGAAACTAGAGTAGCTTTCCACTTGCTGTGGTGAAACAGTTGTTTTTGTTGAACTCCTTTCCAACATCCAGAGTTTATAGGTTAGGCACCAAATCAACAGACCCTAAGCGTTGAATAAAACAAGTTCTTGTTGCTGTGGTTCTTTTGCATTCTCTAACACAGATCTCTCTCTTTTCTGTTAAAACTACAGAAGATGCTGAAAGGCCAAGGGCCGTTCGATGGGGAAGGTAAGCCCTGTTCTGTACAGGCTGGCTGATCCCTGTGTCCCAAGGGAAAGGAACTTCAGGGGCGGTTTTCACATTTCCTTCCTAGGAAGTCCAAGACTAAGGACCTTGCTTTTCAATAAACTGACTGAAATATTGGCCCTAAATATACTTCAGGGGTATTTTAAAGACTGTAAAATGACAGGCTAAAAATGGGGGTTTATGTGAGTGGCTTCTTTTCCTCTCAACCTCCTGTCCCTCCCAAAAGATGAGCTCTGGGATGTGTCTGTCTCAGCCCTGACAGTTCTGTACAGTTCCTGGGGGGGTGGGCCCTCCAGGTGGGACTGCCTTCAGGCCTGTTCCCTGAGGCTCTCCCCAGGTGCAGGACATTATGGATCACTGCCAGGTTTGGGGTCACCCCTGCAGCATGCACCTGAGTCGTTACACTCTGAGCTGCTGGGTCACACAGCATGTTCTCTTTTCCTCAAGTGCTGGGGCAAATCCTTTGGCTCTGCCATCATTTTCCTTTTGTGCTACCTTGGCTTCAAGTTTAAGTGCCAGAAAAACACTGTCCATGTATTAGCATTTTTGTGGTACTTATTAATTCTGGGCTTTGCCAAGTTTGCTGCTTTTCCCAATATTTCAACAGGAAAAAAAATCTTTCCTGGCTATGGAAGTTTTATTGTAATAACTGCTACTCACTTGGCTTTTCTCTGCTTAATGCCTCCTTGAGCTCATCTCAGCTGCTGTGTTACCTTCCCCTTGTGTCTGTTTTCAAAACTTCCCGCTGCGTTCTGTTTGCATCATCCCCTTTCCTACCCTTATTTTCTTCTCTCCTTCACTATCTCCTGATGACGTTTTCTAAATTCTCTTCCAGTGGTTCCCCTCTGTCTTTGACTGATCCCAGCTAATGACTTTCTCTGCAGTGCCTCTCAGAACGCAGTGGCTGTACACAATTTCCTCTCTTGTACAGACTGTACACACTTCCCAAAGAGCTGAGACAGAGGCCAGACCTTGTCTAACACTGGGGCTGGAGGGGCTGAGCAGGTGGGACAGGTCACCCCTCCAGGTGTGGGACCATGGGCTTGGGGCTGTGTGTGGAGCAGCCAGACCTTCCACTTTCCCCTTTTAGGGGAGGATTGGATGTTATCCAAAGCCTGGCCCATCTAAAAGTACCTTTCAGAGCCCACTTGCTTAATGGCTTAATCCATCTGTGGGTCACTGTGGTGTTGAATTTCTCTGTCCTTTCTGTCTGCTGTTGCAAAGGCTGTGTGACCAGGGAGGTTGGGAAGTGCACAGGGTGTGCTCCACACCTGGGGTTCTTTGCCACTGATAGTACTGGATTAATGATGACAGAGCTCAAATAAGGTGTTTTGGTTCATAGGCCTCGTGCTTACTCAGGAAAGCTTTGAATTTTCTATTTGGAATAGTTCTGACCTTAATTCTGAAACTGGGATCATTTCCTTCTCTTAGTGAAATGCAAAGACATTATTTAAAGCTGACAGAAAGGTGGTCATGGGCAGTGGCCTTGTGGTGGTCCTGAAGGTGAAAATAGCTAGACCTCCAGATCAGTGACTGATCCACTGACACACAGTCCTGTTTTCTGATAGCTGGCTAATTGTAAAATAGGCTACAGCAAACCAAGGAAGAAAAAATTGTTTTCTGTTTTTTTCTTGACAAAGGCCACGTCTGTTCTTTAATTCTGTCCGTGAGGATCTTTGGGAGTGGTACAGTGACCCATTGTCACTGTACTGCACCATTGTCCAGCCCAAATCAGATGCTATCTTTGTCTGGTGGAGTGGGGAGGCCACAGTGACACTTTGCTTTCTTTCATTGTTTAATTGTTACTTATAATTCTTAAGAGAGCAACTAAACCAACTTTCTAGCGATGACTGACACACTGTTGTTGTTTGACA